AGTCAATATTTTTGAACAAATTTTATTTAAATTTTAATATTACTCTATGATTTTCTCTATTTTACATTTTCAGGAGCCAATGGATAATCTGAATGGATTAGTTCGTGAAGTTCTTTAGAATATTTCAAATCTACTTCAAAAATATAACTATTTTCCTGGTCATCTTTCATTTTTAAAAATTTTTCTGTATCAAACCAATCAGGTTTATTCCATTTAAATCTTTCACAAGGTAAATATTTACACATTCCTCATCCATAAAGATTATTTGCGTCCAAATCTAAAAGATATTTCGTTAATGTTTGTTCTTTTTTCTCGGATATATTTATTATTTGCTTTAGAATATCTTATACTTCATTAAGATAAACCTTCTCTTATTCCCTGTTCAAACATTAAATACATATCAGTATCTGTTAGCAGTTCTAATTTTACACCTGTTTTTCTAAGCATAGCATTCCAAGCAAAACCTGATGTTGTATAATAATTTACAGCATCCAGCTTAAAATCTCTTAATAAAACATATTTATAATTTCCCATTACATCTGTAAGTAATGATACATCTATTTTATTATAATGTACGATATATAGTAGATATATAGTATCGTATAGTAAAATCTCTCATATTTTTCATTTCAAATGTTTCCCATATTTTTTTAGCATTGTCATATGCATTTTGTTTTACATGTTCACCTGTAGGAGAGCTGTAAAATTTATCTATATTAGGTAGAGATTCCTTATTATATTTTTCTGGAGAATCCACATATTCATAAGGATATGGTAATTTTACTTTTACTAAATCCAATTGTTCAGTATAAAGTTTAGATAGTTCTTTAAACTGGTATAATTTTAAAGTATTAGCTAATTTTTTAAAGAACTAGATAAGAACTTGAAAGAATCAAGAAATCTTATTTCAACTGTTTTAAAAGTAGGTTTTCCTTTCTAATCTAAAACAGGGTCTTTAGTAATTAGATCTATACTCATATATCATATATTTTTTGAAAATAATATATAATTGTCTTCACTATTTGCAATTATTTTTATATTATGTTTATCAATACCAAATTCTTTTATGAATAAATGAGCTTCATAATCAGATAGATAGTGGACAAATATTGGAATAAATCTAGGAACCTTATAATTTAAATTACATATAGAATGAGCAGCTCCTCGGTATTTTCCTGTTAAGTGATCATTATCTCTAACTTTTCTCATATTATCTTCTAGACTTTTCAGGAACAATTTTCTTTCTTATATTTCTCAACTTTCTTTCAAATAACTGAATTTTATCTTCTAATTTTTTAATTTCCTCTTTAGTTTCTTTAATTTGTGTTTGCACATCAGTTTCTAGTTTTATTTTTTTTTAAATAGCATCAGACTTTTTGAATTCAAAATAATCAATAATTTTATTAAGTATTCTCTGTTTCTTTACTAGTATTGGTGCTAAATATATCAAAGATTTTTCACATGTATGACAGTTATTTGCTTTGTTAAATTCAGTTTCTTGTTCTTCAGTTATTATCATATTATCTTTTACATCTAAATTATTTTTTGCAATATGAAGAGCTTCTTCTTTTATTTTCTATAAAAAATGTATGCAGCATCATTGCCAGAATATGATACTGAATTACTGTTATCATCATTATCTTATGATGTAGTGTCTATAACTTTATAACAAAACTAACAGGTAAATAGTTATGATATGTTTTTGTATAAAAAGCTGTATCACAAGTTTGACATGTATCAAGTTTAGGAAACATGCTTTCAAAATCAACATAAATAACAAAGGGAAATTTATAAGATTGATTATATTTTTCAAATTGAAGAATATGTTCAGTATACTTTGGTTTTTTTATATTGTTTTAGCGCATTCATTATTTCTGCAATATTCCTCATTGTCTGTTAGACTTTTTTCAATATAAAAATGAAATAAACACATAATATAAATATGTTGCAGTCTTATGTTTTGTTATTTGTGAACTAACAAATTTCGATAAGTTTCTAATCAAACAATAATCTTTTTTCTTTTTTTGTCTAAGATAAAATAAGTTAATATGTATTTTTTTTGAATATCAACTTTTTGTAAATGTATTATATTAACACCCTTATAAGTAAACACGTTAATAGACATTTTCGTTTTCTTTCAAATTCAGAAGTATCTTTTAATTTAACAGAAAATTCAATTTTTAAACTTTTAAATACTTCATTAAATTCATTTTTATCTTTACTATTCCTGTTTGCATCTTTTGTCACTGGGTGTAAAGCAGCAAGAATTAACTAAAGAAAACATTTATCATCTTTAATTTCAATATTGATAATAGCTTTTAATCAGATAACGTTTTTAGTAATTTAATATATAATGCTCCTTCCTTTAAGTGATTTATAACTAGACATATTTATGTTCATATTTATAACCTGGATAAATATCCAATAAGCATCCTTAGCAAAAAATTAATCTTCTCGATATTGTATTGTTTCTTTAAAATTGTTATAAAAATGATTAAAACTATTAGAATGAAGTGCGTTCACTTTCTGTTCTAAAATCTGTACCAAATACCACATCTGATCGTTATTTCTTGTTGTATTTGCAATTTACTATAATACTTATTTTCAAATTACCTATCTTTTTTAAATATTCTCATCAAACTCTTTTGAATAATTCAAAAGTTGATTTATATTTTTAAACTGACGTTTATTTTCAACATTAAATGATAATATTCTCCTTTTAAAAGCAGATTGACTTTTACTAGTAATACCAACAATTGTTTAAAGTAGAAGGTCTTTCTCTCTCAAATAAACTATCATTCATTACTTATGAATTGCGAAAAACTTTGTGTGTTAGAATCTTATCTTCAAAATATGTTCTGCTACGATGAATTATTGTAGTTGGTTTATTCTCAATAATATCTTTAGAAAAATTGCAGAAAACTCTGTGAGGTTTTACTGTTCTCTCTTTTCTAGATTTTGAGATTCTATTTACAATTCTCTGTATAATTTTTTTATGAAATCTAGGTTTAATAGTTACATTTGGATCATTTCTTCAATGTCTTGATAATCTTAAATGTCTAGACCAATTTTTATATGCAGTTGTTATATTAACTATATTATACAACTTTCTTAAACTTCCTGCAACAATATTATTTTTTTCCATTTTATTATAGGTTATATTTTTTTAACTAAGGTTTAATTTTTAATTTCAGTTTCATTTTTTCAAATTCATTTTTTAAATAAGACAATCTTGTTTAAAATATTTCTTTGGCATCAAAATTTTGTTTTCTGTAATTCCTCATTTAGAAACATCCTTCAATAGTTTCATTATTTAAATCTTTAATTTTATAATTAATCGGATTTGTGTTCAATATTTCTGTACAATAAATATTTCTCGTGTCAATAAGAATTAAATTTGTTACCATACGTTTTTCTCAACTTCTTTATTCTAACCCTATCATCAATTTTAAAATTATTTTTTGATCACAAAAAAAATATTATTAGGTATATGCGATTTGACCTACTTAACCATTATCGATTTGTATGCAACGTTTATCTATTCATAGCACAATGTGAAAATAGTTTTTTTAAACCTTTAAAAATTAAAATACATACTTCTCTTGTTTTGTTATAAGAATTTAACCTTTTGGACTTATGTAAATATGTGAATGGAGATTAGAAATTAATTTTTTAAATTTTATTAAATTAAGTTTTTTTAAATATTATTTTTAATTTAATTTTATTAATATTTTTTTAATACAAGTTTATGAATAAAGAATAATATGAAAACAATATGAACGGAGATCTAAAATTAGTTTTAAAAAGTGAAAATACTTGTCTACTCCAGGATCCCAATTTCTCTACTAATTATGTATATATAATTATATGATAAAATAGTTACATATGCATTAAACATATGTTATTATTATATTGAAAAATTGCTTGTAGAAAAGTTATTAATAAAAAAAAAATAAACATCATTGTAAAACCAATACATTCCTCGCTCTATTCAGAATCTAAAAAATTCATTAAAAATACATTATTGATAAAAATGTTTTTTATATACTTTAAGCTACTAGCAATAATAATAGCAGTGTTAGTTGTTACTTAATATTTCATAAGTAACTATTTTTTTTTTATTAGTAAACATTAATTAAATATAAAATTTAACTATACAAATTTAGATAAATAATATTTTAGTCTCTAACATGAAAAGTAATCAATTTGATTACTCTTTTGTTTAATTAAATCAAACAAAGAAAATATTGAAAATAAATGCATAAATAAGATCAAAATCAAATATCACTCAGAAAGTAATAAAAGAACACTCTAGGTAATACAATTTGATATAATATCAAGTATGAGCTATTACTATTAATTTATTGGTCTACCAATGGTACAACAATTTTCATATCAGTTTATATGGCTACACTCTTTTTATTAAATTATTTTAGTTGTTAAATCAACGAACTATAAAATCGAACTAACCACAGCAAATACATACAAAAATGGTACATTAGATAAAGATTATAAAATAAAAAATTATTCGGCTTTCGGATTAACCTAGTATATTTTATTCTGGTTTTAGTTAATTTGAGTGTTTTGAGAAAAAAGAAAATCGTGGCATATAGGTTTTGGGTGTTCGATTTTTTAAGAGTTTTTAGGGATATTAAGGGTTCCGGTTAATTCATCGCAACATTGTGTAACAATTGAACATTAACAAAACAAATGTTTTTATGACAATGCACATACAATTAATCATAAGTACTTAAGTATTAGTTAAATTATGTTTTATTTTATTTAAGAGATAAAATAACTACTTATTTTTATTTTTAGTTTTCCAAAGAAGACACAGATACTGTTTTATATTCTATAATATAGGCAAATTGTAAAATTAATTTTTAAATTTTAATATTAATGTATATGCATTTTCTAACAAGCAAAATTCATTTAAGCAAGTTCATTAAAATTACCGATTAATTTAATTTTCAAGAGAAAATAAATTTTTTAATATTATTTTAAACTCTAGTCACTGGAAAACTCGAACTTAATTTTTTTTTTTTCAATGATCCTGAACTGAAACGACCTCCTTCTCCTCGCACTCTATTCATAGCATGTTTATGACGTGATTCATACAGATATTTCTGAAATAAAAACACAAGTACGAATAATTTAACCATATTTTGATATCATAAACATTAAATGTGGTATATTAGTATGTTAATTAAATTTACCTTTCGAGTTAGAGGAATTCTTCCCGAAGCTTCCAACTTTGCTCTAGCTATTCTCCTTTTTAAAATTCGATGGTATTGTTTAAGATTGACATATATTGGTGCTTGATCCGTTTCTTCCTCGACGGGTATAGATATTTTAGGTGCAGGTTTAATTTCAACGTTATGTTTAGCTCCACTATTTGGCACAACCTTAAATCAATAAATTATTATTTTATCTTATAGTTGGTTGATTAAATTAATTTTAGATCAAACAAAGCTCATTTGAGGGGGCCAAACTGTATCACAGGCACTGTTTATGCATTTTAGGGGGAGGCACCTCCATTAATTTTGTAAGGGGGTGAGTTGGTTATTTTGTTCAGTGGTCATTTTCAAACTTAATCAAAATTATGATCTTGTAGATGAAAGGAGGTAAAAACTATTCGTTATATACAATGTACATAGTCATAGCGCCATAACAGCATATAAATAATAGAACAATTAATATAATATAGTAGTTTTAATTACTGGTAAATCAGGTATATCAACTACTGCAATAGGTAACACCAGTGCCAATTTCTGAACGCATTTGATTAAATAGATTCTAAATGGATCGAAGAACCTTATAGTTTTACAATGATGTTTATTGTATTTATTTTTTTTTTTTAATGGACAACTTTTCTACCAACAATTTTACTCAGATTTGATTGTTGGATAGGTTTGATTGAATTATATTACATGTGTGCCGCAAAGTTCATGGACGTAGCAAAGTAAGCTAATTTTTTTCAAAGAATGGGTGAATATTTTGGTAACTAATATTTTGCCCAAAGTTATTTGAAATGGTTTATACCCCAGGTGAGGGGATTGAAATCTGTTTAATGTATGTATTATACACTCTTATGAAACGTATATATAGTTTTTGAGCAAATACAGACACAAAAAAAAAATAAATAAATAAAAGCACACATCATAGTAAAACGTTCATAATCTAAAAAATGTTGTAGATGTTATTCATGTGACCAAAGAACCTCACATAGAACATTTATAAGTAAAATGAATTAAACTTTAGTCGAAACTTTCTTTTATTTAATGTATAACATATTGTTCTAAGACTAAAAATAAAATTATTATCTAAGCATTTTAAATTTGATGAATCATTTTGAATAACCCTGTATATTGATCATGAAATATACGCCAATGCATTTATTATTGTCCATAATATTTTAGGTATCTATAATAATAGTCTGGTTTTGATGAGATCAGTCCACGCATACTTAAAGAATTGCCAAAGATGGCAATTATTCTTCTTACACATATATACAACGCAATTATACGAACGGAATACGTTCCAGTGCAGTGGAAAAAGGCACAAGTCATCATGCTATTGAAACCAGGTAAGCCATCTGAACGAGTTACCTCATACAGATTCATATCGCTTCTTTCAAGTTTGTCGAAGCTCTTCGAAAAACTTCTTCTTATACGATTAAAACCTCTTATAGAGGAAAAAAAACTTATACCAGACCATCAGTTCGGATTTCGAAACAAACATTCAACCATAGACCAAGTACATCGCGTCACAAACGTCATTAACAAAGCTCTGGAAGAAAAAAAGTATTGTTGTNCATAAAGGACTACTCATAAAATTTCGTGAACAGCTGTCACACACTTGGTGTGCGCTATTAGAATCTTATCTGACGGACCGGCAATTTCGAGTCATTACACGAAGAAGCAATAACAAATTGGAAAAATATATCAGCTGGAGTACCACAAGGTCCTAGGACCTATTCTCTACTTAATCTACACAGCCGATATCCCAACCAACACCGACTCAACAACAGTTATGTTTGCTGACGATACAGCAATTTTAACAACAAGTAAGGACCAACGGGCTGCGACAGACAACTTACAGATCTCAATCAATAATATTTATAATTGGACAAGACATTGGAAAATAAAGATCAACAGTGACAAGTCAGTACACCTAAATTATACTTTACGTAAAACTGTAAATATCTCTGTATTGTTGGACCACACAATAATTCCACAAAAAGATTCAGCTAAATACCTGGGTATGCATCTCGACTCCCGGTTGAATTGGAAACACCATGTCCGCCAAAAAAAATTGCAAATCAAAGAAAAAATGCGTAAATTGTACTGGCTATTTGGAAGGAATTCCACGCTAGACCTGACTAACAAACGCCTTCTATACGTATCCATCATCAAACCGATCTGAACCTATGGCATACAACTGTGGGGTTGTGCCAGCAAATCTAACATTCAAATCATTCAACGTTGTCAAAATATTGCCCTTCGGACCATTGTTGCAGCATACCAATTCGACAGGAATGACGTCATACATCATAATCTCAAGATACCATCCATCCAGGACGAAATCAGAAAGTTCGCTAACAAACATGTAAATAGACTAGAGTTGCACACTAATGCAGCTGCAAAACTACTTGACAACTCACAAGACATCAGGTGCCTCAAACGCTTGAAGCCCTACGACTTAGTTTATGTAATTTAGACTAAGGAAAGGGGAAATCTCATTGGAGAATCAACCCCAAACATGTTTAAGTATACTATGTATATTATATTATGTATAATTACTACTTTATACTCATTTAATTGTATTTATAAAGACTACTTGTCGTTTAAATAAAGATGCTGAAAGACAGTTTAAAAAAAAAAAAATAATAATAATATTATTATATTCTACCATTATGATGTTTTGATTATTTGAATTCATTCCTTGTGTGATGGTAGTAACTTCAGGAGACAGGTTTGTCGATTGAGTAGTCGATGACTCTAATAGCATAATATTTCCATTTATGTTTATCACTGAAATAAAATTGTTTAATTGGGTTTATAAAGAGTTCTAATCCAGAGATTATTCAATGAAGAGTACATAAAAATATCACTCTGAGGCTCAAATCAGTATAAATAAAATAAGGCACAGATACAAGTGGGATCATTAAAAGTTAAATTTTCATTATAAACAAATTTAAGTTTAAACTTAAAAAAAAACATCATTCATTTTTCTTTCAATGAGATAATGTAAAAGTGATAATACAATGTGTCCCACCGATTTTTTCTAGTTATGTTAATATTAAATTTGTTTTGAATGTTTTTTTCAATTGGTTTCCCTTCGAATGGGAAAAAGGTTTGGAGAAGAATTACATAATTATTTTCATCCCTTAGATATAAAAAAAATAACTTTTTATTTATTCACATTAGACAATTTTCAAAAAACAAATTTTGTAAAAAATATTTTTCAAACAATTTTAATGTATCACACAATCATGAAAACAATTAATATTCAATAAAAATACTTGCGATAAGAAATTACAATCAGCATGGCAATTTTACTGACTATTAATTGTTTTCACACCTATTTTCTAGAAATTAAAACGGCTAAAATTAAGAAACTAGTAATCGAATATGAATTTATGATTCATTAGCATGTTTACAATAATATTTTTTACAAAATAGCTATTTTGAACATTTTCTCAAGTGAATAAAAAAAAGTGTTTATTTTTATGTTTAGGAGATAAAAATAAAAATTTAATTTTTCTCTAAATCGAGATCGATCTTAACACTCAAAGACAACCCGATTAGAAAAAAAAATGTAATATTATCAGTACTAGATAAATCCGTCGAACAGAGGAACACACTTTATACCCAATATATATTGAAATAAATTCTAATGTAATATTAAATCAGTAGTTTTAATTAAGTTTTTATTAAAAACCATTTTTTTTTGGGAAATTGAATTCTATATCATTTTTATATTAAACGTTATTTCATATTTTCAGCCATTAATAAACAAATAAATATTATGATATAAGTTATTGACATTTAAGAGTAATTGATACTTGGGATTACATATACAGTATGTAAATTAATGTAGATACAATTTTTTTTGGAAAATAAGCTACACTTGAAACAACTTGGAGCAAGATTTCTGGTAGAAAAGTTTGCATGACAAATCGAGAATTATTTGTTAATTAAAATGAGCGATAGATGGATCTCTAGGTAAACCTAAAATTTATTTTTGCAAGCATTTTTTTTCGAAACACGGGTTTAAAATCGCGACCGAATATAGAGTTATTTAACATAACATATAATATCCGCATAATAACAGAACTTCAAAAAGCCATAATTTCGAAATTTAGTTCGCTTAATTTTGACTCCACCATCGTTCTTAAATCGGCAATAAATATATGTTCAAAACAAAAAATTGAAAAATTAGATTTGTTCCACATAATTTTTTACTCGAAAGATTTTCGTCAAAATTTGATATTGAAATAACTTAATAAAAAAAAATACAACATTAAACTCAATTTTTTTTTTTTGACCTCAAAGTGACTTAATGAATCTCCTGTTAAATGTTCACGAATTTCTATTTAGTCTAACAGTTTAACCACACACTACCCACCGAATAAAAATTATGTATAAAACTCGCAAAATTGAAATATCTACAAATAGCTCAAAAATTGTTTTAATTTTTACCACGTCTTGAAAAGGCAAACATGAGTTTTCTGTCTAAATTTCAAGTCTCCACGAATATTTTTAACTGAATTACAATAAATAACAACATTGAAAAATAATTAAAACATTATTTNAAAAATAAAAAATAAATAATTATCTTGGTAAAACCATATATTCTTTAATTAACTCAGAATCTAATAAATAATACTAAATTAAACTAATTATTTTTTCCCACTAAGTACGACTTATAACGAATCTTCTTTCAAATTTTAAAGCATTTCTGGTAAGTCTAACAATTTATCTACAGAGTACCTACCAAATAAAAATAACTTAAAAATTTCGCAAAATTTAAATGTCTTTAAATAGCTTAAAAATTGCTTAAATGTTCTGAAAGTTTTCCCACTACTAGAAAAACTAAGTTTAAGTTTTCTGTTACATTTTAAATCCCTATGAATATTTGAAACTAAATAACACGAAATTTAAAATAAATAAATAATTAATTTTGTACATTTTCCCGTTCTTCCCACGTATGTTTCGGTGTTGTAAACTACCAAGAAAATCAAATGACGACTTTCTTGGTAACCAAAGAGATTAAAAATATAACAGACAAGGCCTCTTGTCATTAATCTGTTGGAGGAATATTTATGACAGGAAACATAAACTGTACAAATTTAAAATAATGATATCGTTGTACGGTAATTTGAAAAAAATTGTATACTGCTTTTATTTTGGTTTTTCCCAATTATTATTGATAATACTTAATTATAGAGATAATAATAATTAAGGTAACGGAAAACCACTTACATTGTCAGTGGCAAAATATTATATAGAATACAAATGATACCTTGTCATTTTTATATTAGTATAATATTTCTTGAGAAAACCCCGCGTAAACATAAAAATAATGAAAACAGTACGGCCTCAGCGGATCGTAAATATTTACCGGTGTACCTATACTTTTTTGGGTTTTTTCTAATTATTTCGAAAATCCCTTGGAAAAATGACCTCCTCAATTCAACAATTAGAGAAAATTACCTTTTAGAAAAAATGCTTTACTCTATATTTCAGAGCACTTTTTCTCGTAGAAAAGTTGTTTACAGACAAAAAAAAAACACTCATAGTAGTAAAACTAATAGAATTCTCGCTACGCTCTGAATCTATACTTCAAGAATCGCCAAAAAATTGTTTTGATTATTTTAAATTCAAAAATTTCCATTTTGTAGAGTTATTTATTCAAAGTATGAAGAAAAAAGAAATATTAAATCACGTGAATTTTAAATGAATGAAAGAAACTTCTATTTCCAAAAATACAGCATGAAAAGTATACCTATTCTTTATAATTATTGGATTAGCATTACACAATTTTACAATATCATGCTGCATTTTTGGAAAAAGAAGTTTTTTTTCATTTATTCAAAATTCAGTTGATTAAAATTTGGTTTTTCTCCATACCTTAGAATCTATTTATTAGATAAATAACTCTACAAATAGCTATTTTCGAATTTTTAAAAAAGTTTTTTTTTTTAAAGAATCAAAGAAATTTTTTAGTGGTTTTTGAATTTTTTTTATTTTAAACCATTATAAAAATTAAAAGGAAGTCTATTAGTCATATATTACATTGAAAAAAATCGCACTACAATATCTACATCATAATTCAAATTACAGCTACTGACTTTCCAATTAATTTACATACTGTATACTGTATAGCCATTAATCGGCTCAATCGAAGTAGTTTATGTGAACAAAAAGATCGTGGTGTAGGTATAAATGTACATAAGGTGATTATGATAACTTTTATGATAACTCGTTGAAGGTGAGGAAATAAGAATATTTCACTTATGTGGACGTCAAACAGAAGCGTTTGAACGGCTTAACTGTTTTAAATGTTCATAAAGATATACCTATTGATGGAGTGATGAATATATTTTCAAGAACATCAAGAAGGATAAAGATAGAGGTTTGGTCAAATTGAATTAATTTGTTATGTTGATATTAAACTATATTCTTTCTTTCAATTATTGACATATTTTGCACTCTTGCCTATGTAATCATATGATAGGTATAAGTAATAAAAATAATTTTGTTATTATTATTATTATTTTATAATATGCATGTATGATGAATATTTTTTACTCACTATGAAAACTTAAAGCCTATAGCTTTTATGAATTTGAGTAAATTTTTTCGTCCAACCCCTCCCCCTTTTTTATTTTTAGATCTACGCCTGAATACAATATTATAATAGCACTTACATGTTGGCTGAATAATCTGTGTGTTGTAAGCTTGTACTTGTTGACAAGTATAAGTTTGACCACTAGGAATTTGGATCAATTGAGTTTGTGTTGGCTGCTTTTTTATATAATAATTTTTAGAATTAAAAATGTTAAACAACAATATTATTGTAATAAAATGCATAGACATAAAAACATGCATACCTCTTCTAAAGTTTGGTGTAAGTAATGCTGTACTGGTTGATTTACAGTATCATCGGGGTCAACATAAACATACATTTCTTGACCATCAATGTCTTGTATCAATTGATTGGAATAGTTTTGAACATGGTTGTTAAATGGTGGAATTGTTTGAAGAGGAATCATTTCAGCTATTATGTCTTCAGATTTCATCTCTAGATTCATGAATGGATCCTATCGCAAAGTCAAAGAATAAAAAAACTTCACTACACATTTTGTTGTTTTACTTTCAAACCTGACCTAACACCTAACAATGACATTATGTTAAATTTTGGAACAAGATATTGGCGCAATTAGGATTTTTTAAATTGCATGATATAATCAATTTCTTTACGAAATAATTATAAAAAAAAAAAGTTGCTCATGTAGAAACTTCTTGGAATCGTATATTCTAAATTATTATATTGTCCGTAATTTTATTATTTTTGTTTTATTTTTAAACAAAGGTATCGAGATACGAATATTAAAATATATACTGTCTATAAACCCTATCCACTATATAGGGTGATCAATCTATCATAAGACACTCATATCTCGGGATGTATTAACTTTTTTCGAAATTTGTTTAACAGAAAATTTTAAAAACAAGCCGTTTTGAAATTTAACATTTACTCTATTTTATATCACCCTAATTTCTGGGGTTAAAAATTCAACATTTTAGAAAACCTAATTACAATAACAATCAATTCGATAGCTTTCTGTATTTTCAATTCATATTTAATCATTTTATGCATAATTTCACTATCAATTATTAAAAAAAACAGAATAATTATAAACTATTGTTATATTAGGTATTTCATGAACGTTTAACAAGATTTAAAATTAAATAATTCAAAGTACCTCTTTGGGAGGATCTTTCACTTATAGCCTTGAAATCTAATTTTTTGTCTCTCTAATTACATAAATATAAATCAAAATTAATGTTTTTATAAATAGGCCCCCAGAAATTATAATTATGTTAAGCCATGTTCAGATATATCATTATTAAATTACTATTTACAATTAGAATTTAAGTAATTTCCTAGAGACGGGATAGTACATACTATCAGTACCGTACTATCACTATTATTACTGAATTAATTATTTTTGATTAAATTAAATTTTATTTTATTTTGTGGTATAAAATAATATATTGTTGAGTGTAAAACTTGATTTGAAAAATGCAGTGAAGGAAGAAATTTCCGAGGGGGGTTGACCCATAACCTCCTTTCTGGGTGTGCCACTGAGCTATATATTTTTGTGTTCAATGCTAATTAAAAAATAAATCTTAAACATTGTTTAAATTTTAAATTACGAACATATTTTATATATAGGTATCAAGGTTTTTTAAAAATGTATTTATTGATTTAAGTAATTATTTACACAGAGATATGCCCCTTAAATGTCCAAGCCCTAAGAAAACAGACTTATTGACTCCGCTTTGTCAGGGTTCTGCTTAAAAATAATAATCATTGTAAAAAAATAATATAAAAAACCCCAAGGCTTCAGCTATATTCACGACCCCGTGGCCCGAGCCAGGCCAACACTATATATGTATAATTAGGCATTAGGGCCTAATGGGGTCATGGACGTACAAACTACAAAGCCAAGTCCGCACGGATCTATATAAGTGTTTTATACCTCAAAAATTTGAAGAATAATTACATGTAGTGTAATGGATGTCCGGAAACGGGGGTTCTGGTACAAACATATTTCAAGAAAATTATACAAATTAAACGTATAGTATTATTAAACTGGCTCCGTAGACCCCGTATATAATTATAATATATACGTTTGTAGGACAGAGACAACACATACGAGTTACACGCACTCTTAAGGAAAGTATCGAGATAGGTAACAATAAAATAGTATGTATTTTTTTCGATGGGAAAATTGTAATCGTCAATTCTATCGAGAGCAGTAGCTAACGAAATAACTACTATAAACCACTGTCGTAGTTTATGATATTAACAATCAATAATTATTGGCATTATAATTTGTATAAAATACCAATACTCTAATGAAATTTACGTTTCTAGTTATACATATGCCATATAAAATATTATATAATTATTTAACTATGTGCCATATTGTAAAATAATGTTACCATTCTATTGTAAAAATAATTACTTGTAATAAATACACGGTCTAGAGAAAGATGTTGCTATACCTACAAAATCCCCAATCGCTATAGTAATGATAATACAGTACAAATAAATTACGGCCGAGTTAATAAACTACAATAAACTATATTGTAATATTATTTGTATACTTAAAACGGAAAACTTACCATTTTTGACGAGCGACGGTCCAAAGTTCTGCAACAAACAGTTCAGTAGGAATCGGAAATATAGGTCAACGAGTGGTGCGTTATATTACGTGCACGGGGGCAAAGCTGGATCGATTCGTCAACGATAGACGTTCATGAAGTTAGCACCACCACTTTATACTACAGCTGTAGTTACTACAGTTTTGTATTTAGTAAGTTTTAAGAGGTTAAAATATCGAATAACGTTTTATTACTTATATTATGTTTTATGTTTCATGTGAAGTTTAATCTAAGTTACCTTTATTATTATTTTAATTTGTATGTCCTAACTAATAATTTGTCTTATTTACTGTAAAAAATGTAACTTTTCTATACTATTAAGTTCTCCACCCATTATCTATACAGAGTTATTAAAATGCTTATGCAGTGACGGCGCCAAAGGTTTCTACAACCACCCCGGGGCTTTAAATTCAACTTTTCGAACATTTTCCGATGCCAATATTTAGCATACAATTAGCATAAATTTGCTTGGCTGGTCCCGAAATATGCACTATACATCCTCGCTTGTATAAATATTTTCTCAGAGTTGCGTATTTTATCAGCCCCCTCCCATTTAAAAAGTTCAAATATTTTTTGCGCCAATATTTAGCATAAAATTAGCATGGATTTACAAGAATTTTAAGGTCAACATTTTATTATTAAAACAATTTTAAAAACTAAATACATTATATTATACTAGGTGATAGAGGGTATACTAATTATCTCGGAAAGTATTAATTTTTTCCGGAATTTGTTTCCTAGAACATTTAAGAAACAATTCGCCCTACAATTTTATATTTATGTTATTTTTTGTCACCCTTATTTTTGGGGATAAACCACTACTTATTTTTCATTTTCAAATGGCAACCTATATTCAAAATTCCATAAATATATGAATTATTAGTTAAAATAAATTTTATTTTAATTTGAAATTTTTATTGCCGTTGATCCGTTGACAAAATATTCCACTTTTAAGTTTAGGTTGAAGGAGAGTAGTGGAATATAATTTGTGCGATAGTACTATTGCTAACGAAAAAACGATTCTCAGCGGGGTTAAGTTAATAATGATGCTTTTTAACAATAAAATAATTAAAAAGGCATAATATATTTTCTTTAATAATATTTTTTTAATATTGTAACAATTTTCTCATTTTCCCTGTGTTTTTCCCGATTTTACCACGTTTTTCACGGTTTTCCTCATTTGCTGGAAAAGCTCTTGGAAAATCAAAAAATGATCACCCTAAACCATGAACCATGTAGATAAAATTTCTTTTCAAAAAATAAGCTACACTTAAAACATCGTAGTAAGATTTCTAGTAGAAAAGTTTATACAACAAATCGACTGGTATTTTACGGTTAAAATAGTCCGGGTGAGCGATGGCCTGGGACTCTAAGTACGCACAAAATGAATTTGTTTTTTCTTTATTTAGGTAAAAAGAGAAAAAAAATACGAAAAATTTGTTTTGAAACTGGGTTTGAACTCGCAATCCCTAGGATATCATTAGGACTGTATTACGACAAAGATGTTCAAGTTTGACAATATACAGTTATTTAACATAATATAATATTAGAACTTAAAAAAGCTGTAATTTCAAAATAAATCAGTCCGCTAAATTCTTACATCATCATCGTTCTTAAATCAGCAGTCAGTGATGGATATATCCTAGTTCTGAGAGGGGGTGATTTTCAAACCCACAGAGTTTATAGAATTTATTTTCTCCAATGGTTTTTTCAGATCTTTTTTCCAGGGAGGGGGAGTTATCTTAAATTTCCAAAATTTACTATAAGTACATCTACATAAATTCTTAAGTATTAAGTTGTGATATCTGTCCTGTATATCTTCCTCTGATATCGGTAGTATACATATGTTCAAAACAAAAAATTTAAAAATTAGATTTGTTTCACATAATTTTTTACTCGAAAAATGTTCGTCAAAATTTGATATTAAAATTTCTTTACAAAAAATAAAAACTACATTAAACTGAACAATTTTTTTTGACCATAAAGTAAAACATTTAACGTTCCTCTTGTTAAATTTTCACGCATTTTTATTTAATCTAACATGTCTAGTAATAGATGTCTTAAATGTTTTGAAAATTTACCACATCTATAAAATGCATATATAAATTTTCTGTCCAAATTTAAGTCTACGAATATTTTTAACTGAATTACAACAAAAACAAAATTGAAAAATAATAAAAGCATTATTTTCATGAATTTGTTGTTTTTCTTACGTTTTTCGCACTTTTTCTCTTTTATTGGAAAACCGCTTATAAAATCGAAAAATGACCTCCTAAAAGTTCCATCTGGACAATATTTTATTTTAGAAATTATGCTGCATGTACACATTGGAGCAAGATTTCTGTTAGAATTTTTGTACGGAGGATAAAAAACCAAAAAAAAAAATAACATCTTTGTAAAACTAATACATTCTTTGCTACACTCAGAATCTAAAATGATCTCTTTAAAGCATCTCCCTAGTCAGATTTTCATTCAAAAAAGTACTATAATTGAAAAAGGATCAAAATTGTAAATCCAATATAAAAGTTCGCTATTTATATATTATTTAGGTAGGTACTGTGTATAGAGTAAAGTATATTTTATTTGGTACCGTTGCACGTTTCATGGAAATAAAAATGTTGTAGCGCATGCATCTTACGCCTAAAAGGGTATCGCCGATAAAAACCGCGCGCAATCGCACTTCACTCGTCTATACCATAGGTCTTGCATTTAGACGTATTAAGATTTCTAATAGTAATTTCGTCATTGAATGCTATTAGGTCTTTTTTTATAGACAAAGAAACTTGTGGTGTATTAAACAGATCATAATTTTCATTTTTATTTTTGTATGCATATACGTTGCATTGCATTATGTGTAATAAACATATTACAATGTGAAGAATACATTCATACTATGATTAAAGATATATCTTTAATCGTGATTCATACTTTAGAAAATAAGTAAACAAAAATCATGTCATTTCTATATTATTTGTTACTTTTTACTTGTACCAAGGCCTATAATATACTGTACACTATACCAGGGCAGTTGCTAGGGTAGGGCGAGCGGGGCTTTAAAGCAGGGCTTTAAGCCCCACACTTTTATAGATATAATAAAAAAAGTAAAGTTGATGAACAATATAAAAAAAAATGTATCATCATTTTTTTTCATATAAAATAGTTGAATAATTGTGTATAATTTAAATTAAAAAATATGTAGATATATGTATGCATTATATTCACTTGAATTCTATTTATTTTTTTTTATTTTAGGATAGGTATTAATGTCTCCCATTTTCTCTGAAAAATAACGATAACAATAGCTCACTGCAGCTAATAATATTATAGGTACGGACGCCATGGAGGGGGGACAAGATGGGACATCTGCCCCACCCTGAACTTCAAAATTCCAAATATTATTTTAATAGTTAATTAATACAATTTTATTTTAAGTACTTTTTGGTGTTTAATTTTATTATACCCCCCCCCCTGATAAATTTCTTGCGGCATCCATGATTATAGGTACTCATAATATTTTTCTATAATTATCTTTCTGACTAAAGTAATATTTATTAATTTAATTATATAGAGAGTGTATCTAATGGAATTTAAAAACACATTTTAAATTCTGAGTGGAGTGAGGAATGTATTCATTTTACAATGATGTTTAATTTTTTAAATTTTTTTTCTCTTGAAAAATTTTCAGAGAAAATCAGAATGAGGAGGTACTTTACGGAGGTCAATTTTTGATTTTTCCAGGTATTTTCCCAATAAATGAGAAGGTAAAACATAAGGAAAAAAGTAAGAATAACGGGAAAATAGGTACAATATTAAACAAATATTATTTAAGAAAATAATTAATACCCATTTAATTATTCTACTTTTATATAATATATATTACGCATTGTTGAAAAATTAATACTATTAACCTGAGAATTGTTTTTTTATTAGCAATGGTTAGCCATTGCATACAGATATAGGTACATTAAATTCCATATCTACCTTCCTAACTTCTGATCTACAACAGTGGCTCACCCACGGTCGAAATTTATTTATCTTTTTTTTTTATACACCTATACCTACCTAGTAAGAAGGATAATTAATTCCTGAGCATTGGATTATTTTTATAACACAGAAAAATACAATTTTTCTAAAAGGAAATTTGACTGAGGAGGTACTTAAAAAAGGTCGTTTTTAAATTTTCTCGTTTTCTCAACAAATGTGAAAAATCGAAAAAAAAAATTGAGGAATTACGGGATCCATTTTAATTTTGAAATTGTAATAATTGTAATTTTAACATAATATGACATATATATTATTGACAATAGTGCATCCTTGCTTACAGGTATACATTAAATTACTTATAACAGTGGCTACACCCGACCCGATTATCCTAGGACCTCTTTTTTATTTTTATTTAAAATAAATGTTAAAACCTAGAAAAACGTATTGATGTGAAATTGTAACTGTATAGTAAAATTTAGCATATTTACCATAAATAGTGTTCATGGTCAATGAGGTTCTATTTTTAGAATTGTATTTTGCGTCCAACTAATTTTTATTCAAATAAGTATTAATTAAAATGTATTGATAATATATACCTGCTTAATAAAAATATTATACCTAATTATAAAATGAGTTATTTATTATTTAGACAATCATTTATGGTAGGTAGTTTATTTTAAGGTATCAAAAGTAGGTAGCGTAACATTCCATTATATGAATTATAATAATTATAAAAATGGACAGTGAATAATTATAAACATTGTTGATCACCAATCAGTGAAAGAACAGACACTGCTCTCCCAGTATTTATAATTTTTAAATGATGTATTGATATAAAAGAATTCTGCCTGTGCATTGTTAAATTAAATTTGCAAGTGGCAAATATTTCTATGAATACCCATGGGTAAATAGGGAAGTGTACCTTATCTTCTAAAGCTGTGGATCTATTATAAGTCAGATCATCATTGTTCAATGGGCAATCACAGTACCTTAAATCTTCGTTATCATATAAAACTTAGCATTGAACTCTAGATATACAGGTATGCTCGTCTGCCATTTTCTATCCATTGTTATTGTTTAGCAGTGGCAGACTACCACCAATTGTATTATAATACTTGTGAATTATGCTTAATATGTAACAGTTATATTATAATATATCAAATTTAAACATGTGTACTTTATATTTATTTATTTATTATATGCTTGTATGGTGTGATGTTTTATATTTTATAGTACCCATAATTAAATATTAATTTATTATAAAATACATACAAATACTGGAAAATGAGTGGTTGCTCATTTACAAATATTATAAAATAAATAAAAACAAAAAGCAATGCATAATAGAAACTGTTCACAATAATTAATGGCAAAATACAAAAAAGTTCTCAAAAAAACTAATATTTATACAATTTAATTATATAAAATGGTTATTTTCTCCACATAATGAACAAATGTAAAAATACCTATTTATTGTATGGAAAGATATGTTTATATTACTTTGTACTGGTATAACATATTAACATTATAAGCTATAATATGCTATCTGTAAAGAAAAGATGTATAAGTTTGTAAAAAGGTAAAATATGATGATAAAATCAACTAATAAAATCTTAAAATATTTAAATTAAAACCAGTAAAATATGTTTAACAAATGCTTGATTATAATTATAAAAATGAATATGCTAAGAATATTCTCAAAAAAAAAAAAACAAATAAAAATAATTTTACAACACTACTCGATTTTCATGAAATAATAATGATTTCGACAAAAATATTTGAGAGAAAATGGTGACATAAATAAAAATAATAGTTTTGAATGTATGTATTAATAAAAGTTGAACCTTTTCATAAAATAAAACAACAATTATAAATCAATGTCCAAAATCATCGCACAACAATGGTATGTTAAAAATGTATTATAGGATGTGATATAAACGTTTTATACTATTTTAGATTCTTAGTGTAACGAAGAGAGCTTCATTCAGAATCATTTTTAGATACCATGGTATGATGTTTATCTGGCTTTTTAATTTCCTTTTTGGTAGATAAGGGCATTTTTCACTGTGAAAACAGTTTAATAAGGCATCTACTGCTGCAAGGCACATTTTTAAATCAATGTTATCTTGAAGTACCTTCTGTAGTTCTTCTAGATCTTAGGATAGTGTGAAGGAAATATTTCTTATTTTATGTTTGTGAGTGCTGTAAAAATAAATTTTGCTTATCAGTCTAAATTGTCTACAATTAATAAACAAGAACATTTTAAAGGTAATACATAGTACCTACATAATATACTACAAATCTAAAAGTTAATAGGAATAGGGATTGATAATGTGGTACAAAATAACTCATGCAGCCATATATCAAATAAAGTGTATTATATATCTACAACCTAGGTCGTGGACATCAATGCACATAACATAGGTTATATTTTATCGTAAGAACTAAAAAAAAGAGGACTCTTTCATTTACCTTTAAGTTCAAACAAAATGGTAAATAATATTTTGTTTAGTATAAATGAACTTAATAATCACTGTTAAATTAACATTTCTGTATCATTAAAATACGTAAATGAAAGCTCCAATTAATTTAATTGATGCTTTAAGTTGTAATTAAATATTTAACACATTATTAAAGTTGTAAAAGAAAATATAAACATGAGAACATAAAAAAAAAACAGAATAAAACTAAATATGTTTAACCAGAGAAAAATATGAAAATGACAATTAACAAGTAACACCATACAATATTATGATTACGATTATTATGATAACATAGTATTAGATAGAAAATGGCGGATGAGCATACCCGCATGTATAAAGCCTTACTTTCGTATATTATCGTAATAAACAAATGTGTAGTTGGCCGCCATATTCCAAGAGTACAAACAAATGATCTGATAAGAATAAGATAAATTGATAACTTTTATTGATAATTACAGAAATTTAAATAAAAAACAACAAATTACTAATGTCAAACTTAATTTATTTTTCAAATTGATTTAAGTTTTTGTTAAACTTTAATAAACATTGAAGGTTATTTATTGCTTTGCGAACGAGTGTTTTAAAAAAATGGAAATCAGGAGTAAAATTCACTTTTTTCGTAAGTTAATGTAGTCATTATAATAAAATATACTCAAATATCCATGTTTAAATTTTTATATTTCTTATATTATTACCTAACTTAATTTTTCAGTAGTTCAAATAACATACAGGTTTGTATTGTTAATATGTTATAAGGTTTGTGAAATGTATAATACTGGCACAAGAAAAGACTATGATAAATTTAATAATTCATTACATAGCTAATGCAAGTAATATTGATGACATTTCAACTGAACACATTTCTGAATCAACTCGAAAACAAGAAAGGTTTATATTGGTAGTTTCTAATTTTTCAAAGAATTTGCTTTTATTATTTGTTTGTATGTTAACAGGTTGAAATGGTGATATCTCTCAATGAAATTGTTTTAGAAAACATAAAACCAATAAATATACCAAATAAATAATTTATTAGTACATTTTATGGTATTTTTTTCCATAAATTAAGCAATTTTCAGCAAAGTTACAAAAAATACATCAAAAGCAATTAGTTATAACTAAAGGTACTTATGTAAACTCTTTACTACTTTATTTTAATAATACAATTAAAATATAATCTACTGTTTTAATATTTTGCAATGTTTTCTGGAATTGAATCTTATTTTAAATTCCAAAATTATTGTACATATAAGTATAATAAATGTGAAAGTAGTTTGTAGAAGTATATAGTATAGAAAGAATATAAAAATTATTGGTAGTGTTGAATGCTGTACAAATTTGCATTGGAGATATTTCCTCTGATGATAGTAAAAAAATTAAACAGTAATTTGGTATTCAATTTGTAAAATGTTATGGCTAATGGAAACACATAAACTATTTGATATTTGTGGAAGATAAAAACAAGTAAAATTTGAAATAACTAATTAAAATATGTTTATTTACCTTACAATATGCTAAGATAATATTTTTTTTTTTTTTTAGTAATAGTTACTTGTGGTGTACACGACTTTTATATATATTAAAAAAAATCAATCAAAGTTAGATAAAAAAATGCCAATTAGAGTTTATTTTTCTCCTTCAAAACAAAAAATAAACTTCAAAATGTATGAAGTAAACATCTATTTTTATTTTATTTCTTACATTTCTATAAATGTGCATTGTTTAAATAATTGTACTAATTTTAGACTTTAAGTACAAATTAAAAAGATAATTTGTTGAGTAAACATGTGTATTAAAAAACTACAAAACCAGCTTACCCATGTATGAAATAAAGTGAATAAGATTGTCCAAGAAAAATTGAATGGAATATTAAACAACTAAAGTTTGCCAGTTTGTCAAATTGAATGAATTGATGAAAGAAATATTTCAAGCAGCTAAAGTAAAAATCAAATAAACCTAAAATATAGCGAAAACTTGGATGTTTTAATATATGCTATTTCAAATAAGGTTTAAGTTTATTTGTAATTTATTATAGTTAACTTAAATATAGATTATTTATCTTATGTTACAGGTCCCCTGATGATTAAAATCATTTAAGAAATCAAAATCGTTTGCCTCTACCATATACAAATATTTTGCGTGCACATTTATCAGTAGTAAAGATAGGCTGTGGTTTTGATCACAATTTTTTAAGCTTCATTAAAAAATCAGATCATCAAAAGAAGGGCATATTAATTTTTGATGGCATTTGTTTAAAGAAACCATGGTTGTTAACACCAGAACCTTGATATATTATGACTTCAAAGATTTTAGTGATGGGTTTGGAAAAAAAGTTTGAAGAAAAACAAACCATACATAGCAATCATAAGTTCTCATGATCCAAAGTTTAGCTGACACTATTCATCAACCCATTGCTATGTTTAAATCAAGAGGACCTGTTAAAGGCCAATATACATTTTAATCAGAATATAATAATTAATTATCTAATTATTTTAATAAAATGTTAAATATTCATAATTTTTTTAGGTATAGAGTTGGCAACAATTATTTTAAAAGCTATTTTATTGCTTGAAAATTCTGGTGTTGAAGTTGAAGGAATTAAGGTCGATTTGCACTATACGCACTATACTAACGTCACAGACTGGCAACATCAAAATATCTTGCTATGTATTTATACCGAAATGTTCACATACACCGGCACCATTACACAATGTCACGGAAAGGCAGCGTATCGAAAACTATATTTTGGCGTGACGCAAAAGGTCAGTTCTTGTCCGTTTGGATAGTATGAATGACAGTACGGAACAATTCCGTCAACAATTTAAATAAACTATATTCTGGATGTGCAAACTCGTTAACTAAAAAATATAATTTTTTAAATTATTTAATACACAAATACAGCCATAAAAAGTAAGTAAGCAATATTTATTAAATTCTCAAATTTACAGTAGAAAATTAAATTACATTAATTATTCGATTAATTAAATAACATATTAATAGTTTAAATAGTTATGGACGATGAGATGTTGATTGAGGAAATACGCCAATATCAAGAGCTGTATGATATGATGCACAAAAAATATAGTGACAACATTCACAAAGATAATATCTGGAGAAAACTTGATAGTGAATTGAAAACAACAGGTATAAACTTAATTTAATTTAACTAATGTAAACTTATTATTAGGTACTTAATATTACTTTTACAGATTTTATTTTTAAATTTTATATAAACTTATTTCTCTGCCATGGTAATGATACATTTTCAGAGTTAAAAAAAGTTGTATAGGTTTCACGCACATTAAAATCAGTAGTGAGGGCATTTCCATCTTGTCTATGTATATATTTAGGTCCCCAATTAGGTTCATATTCTGGTGGGTCTAAATGTTGAGTAATTCAAATATTATCTTTGCTATATTTATGCAAAATACAAGAAGTTAATATTATATTGTCAACATTTTCGGGTAAAGATTTTATACTTCTAAAAAAGATTCAAAAGTTTTGGACCAAGTTTTTGAATGCATTTTCACGCCTAGCTCTTGACAAACTATTATTGAATACTTGTTTATGTATATCACCATTAATTGTATAACCAGGATAAGGTCTTTATAAATAGGTTTTTTTGGGGAAATACCTCATCTGCCAAAATGACATATGGCACTAGACATTGAGTTCCGGAAGATTTTTATCTTTTGGGACATGTAATTTATTTTGTTCCAAAGCTTTTCCTAAATTTAAATTTGCAAATATTCCACCATCACTATTCTTACCGTAGGATCCTACATCTATAGCAATGAATTTATAATTTGCCTCAACCAAAGCTAACAAATTAATAGAAGAGGTTTTCTTATAATTGAAATATTGGGAACCACTATTCGGAGGAGTGAAAATTTCCACGTGTTTCCCATCTAATGCTCCTAAGCAATTAGGAAAGTTCCACATTTTCCAGAACTCATCAGACAATTTTTCCCAATCTTTTTCCTTTGGTTACGACATCACTTCTGCTAACAATTCGTCTATTATAGCTTTGCATACTTCTTTAATAATGTAATGAACAGTCTTGAATGCCTAAATATAGTCCTGAATATAGTTTGAAACGAATCACCAGTCGCTAAAAACCTAAGTAATTAGTTTTACATAAGTTTAACTGTTTAGACAATATAATCAATTTAAATTAATTAAAATGTTTTAATTTATGAGTTATTTTTTACAGATATTTTAAATTAAAATTTGGACGAAATTACATATTAAAACCAAGAATAATACTATTTTAGTTATTTTATTGTAATGTATAGAAGAGCGGTGCCAGTACCCACTTATCACCCTTTTTTCATTTGTTTTTGTGATAACAATATGACACATTTGTTTTTATATTTGTTCTAACCAAATTTTATATTTTTAATAGGCCCAACATGCAAGAATAGGTGGATCTCATTACATGATCAGCTGAGAAAAGCAATAACAATAAATATTACAAAAAGTGGAAAAGCCGCTGAACCTAAAAAAAAGTGGAAGTATGAAGAATCAATGTCATTTGTAATTCCATTTTTTAAAGAAAGGGAAACACATGCCAACATAGCAGAACCTGATAGCTTGAGTGATGAATTATGAACAAGAAGGTATGGAGAGCGTTGTTATTACTAGGGATACTTCAGAAAAAAATTCTAATAACAACATATATAAGCAATGTACATTATCTCCAAAAAACGTTCAACTAAGTATTCTCTAAACAAAAGAAAATTTGAAAAAACCGAGACAGCTTCGTCCGTACTTATGAAATATTTGGTAGAAAGTGATAAGCAAGAAACAAAAGCGACTGCCAATGATCATCCAATAGATATATTTTTCAATAGTCTAGCCGCTACTATAAAAACATTTTCACTCGAGTACCAGCATATGGCAAAGTCAAAACTTTTTAGTGTTGTATCCCACCTAGAGTGGACACATTTATAAAGTAAGAATACAAATTACCAATTCATTTTCCAGCTCCAGACAACAGGTCAAATACACACCCAATACCATTTTTTCAAACTCAAAACATCCAACAACCAGTCCATCCACAACAACAAATGTATGAAATTCCACATCCGTCAAACTCATCTACTCCAAATGATTCATTTATGTCTGGTCAAACTCAAACATCATCACCTGTAAGTTCCAGAAGGTCATCTGCACAATCTTATTTAGAAAATTTTCAGCCAAATAACTTTTAACACAGTTAAAGTATGATAATAATAATAATATTAATTATTTTACTTAAATACAAAAAATACAAAATATAAAATATGAAATGTTTTATTTCTTACCATAAACAGATCATTAGTTTTTCCTTGGGACTAATAGCTTCTCGAATGTAGTGTTTTGTATTTGAATTTTAGTTAAAAATTCATAAAATTGACTTTGTGCCATTCTAAAATATTTATAAAAAGAAATTACTTCATCTTCTAGTTCTTTGAATAATGTGTGAAATTCTCCTACAAATTTCCTCGCAGTAAACATTTTCCGTGCCCACTTTTTCTTAATTTGATTACAATTTTTTTTTCATTATCCAAGATTAAGGCAATCATCACTAGTTGTTTTTACTTAACTTAGGTATGATACAAAGTTGAACATTAAAAAAAAAAATGAATTTACAACATAGTATGCACTAGACCTAGTCTAACCTAACAGAATGGACTGAATGGTTAGATGCGAATGTATTCTATTTTTGACGTGACATTGCCTGTCTGTGACATGATATAGTGCAAATCCACCTTTACTAGTTATGGAGCTTCAACCAACTGAATATTGTGGACTGAATTAGGTGTTAGTGAAAAAATGATTTCTGAGAGGTGTTCTGTTGAAAGTGTTTGCTTTGTCAACAACATGTATGTCACATTATGGTAAAATAAATAAACATTTTATATTATCTTTAATAAAATTTGTATTATATTAAACACATTTTTTTTTTCACAGTTATCCCATGTTTTTTCACATTTTTCAGGAAAACTCTTAAGAAAATCGAGAAATTACTTGCTTAAAATAACTTCAGATTATTAGAATATAGATAGAACTTCAGAACAGTCAGATTAGTTTTCAGAAAAAGGGCCATCATAAAAAATTAGAGCAAAATTGCTGTTAGAATATATGTTCACAGGAAAAAAAAATATTTTTTTTACTAATACCTACATTTCGTAAATTTTTCATTTCATCCTATTTATTGAGAAAATTCCTAAGCAAATCGTTAGATGACCTCCCCAGTTTGATTTACTTCAGAAAAAGTGCTACACTTGAAACAACTTGGAGCAAGATTTCTGGTAGAAAAGTTTGCATGACAAATCGAGAATTATTTGTTAATTAAAATGAGCGATAGATGGATCTCTAGGTAAACCTAAAATTTATTTTTGCAAGCATTTTTTTTCGAAACACGGGTTTAAAATCGCGACCGAATATAGAGTTATTTAACATAACATATAATATCCGCATAATAACAGAACTTCAAAAAGCCATAATTTCGAAATTTAGTTCGCTTAATTTTGACTCCACCATCGTTCTTAAATCGGCAATAAATATATGTTCAAAACAAAAAATTGAAAAATTAGATTTGTTCCACATAATTTTTTACTCGAAAGATTTTCGTCAAAATTTGATATTGAAATAACTTAATAAAAAAAAATACAACATTAAACTCAATTTTTTTTTTTTGACCTCAAAGTGACTTAATGAATCTCCTGTTAAATGTTCACGAATTTCTATTTAGTCTAACAGTTTAACCACACACTACCCACCGAATAAAAATTATGTATAAAACTCGCAAAATTGAAATATCTACAAATAGCTCAAAAATTGTTTTAATTTTTACCACGTCTTGAAAAGGCAAACATGAGTTTTCTGTCTAAATTTCAAGTCTCCACGAATATTTTTAACTGAATTACAATAAATAACAACATTGAAAAATAATTAAAACATTATTTTCGTATATATCCCGGTTTTTCCCGTTTTTCCCGCTTGGAAAATCAAAAAATGACCTCCCAAAAGTACCATCTTTTAAAGACAACTTTCCTTTTCATAAATGGTACCACGCGTATGTATCTATTATATCTATTTTTGTACACAGTATATAAAAAAAAAAAATAAAAAATAAATAATTATCTTGGTAAAACCATATATTCTTTAATTAACTCAGAATCTAATAAATAATACTAAATTAAACTAATTATTTTTTCCCACTAAGTACGACTTATAACGAATCTTCTTTCAAATTTTAAAGCATTTCTGGTAAGTCTAACAATTTATCTACAGAGTACCTACCAAATAAAAATAACTTAAAAATTTCGCAAAATTTAAATGTCTTTAAATAGCTTAAAAATTGCTTAAATGTTCTGAAAGTTTTCCCACTACTAGAAAAACTAAGTTTAAGTTTTCTGTTACATTTTAAATCCCTATGAATATTTGAAACTAAATAACACGAAATTTAAAATAAATAAATAATTAATTTTGTACATTTTCCCGTTCTTCCCACGTATGTTTCGGTGTTGTAAACTACCAAGAAAATCAAATGACGACTTTCTTGGTAACCAAAGAGATTAAAAATATAACAGACAAGGCCTCTTGTCATTAATCTGTTGGAGGAATATTTATGACAGGAAACATAAACTGTACAAATTTAAAATAATGATATCGTTGTACGGTAATTTGAAAAAAATTGTATACTGCTTTTATTTTGGTTTTTCCCAATTATTATTGATAATACTTAATTATAGAGATAATAATAATTAAGGTAACGGAAAACCACTTACATTGTCAGTGGCAAAATATTATATAGAATACAAATGATACCTTGTCATTTTTATATTAGTATAATATTTCTTGTAGAAAACCCCGCGTAAACTGAATAAAAATAATGAAAACGGTACANAATGTTTCGAAAATTTTCCATGTCTAGAAAATGCTAATATAAATGTTCTGTTTAAATTTAAGTCTACAAGTATTTTTAACTAAATTACAATAAATAACAAAAATGAAAAATCGTCAAGGCTGGAAATCAATCCCGTAGAATTTTCTCAATAGTGGACAATAACACCCACCTCATTTAGATATGTCTTATAATATTTTGGTATACTATTCCATTATCAGCAAAGTGTTATTTTAAGGTTTTGACCCTCTAGGCATAGTAGAATAAGTGCCCATATACTTGAAGTACCAAATTTTCATGGCTGATGACATTGTGTACCATGTGTGCTAAACACCTTACACTGTAAGACTTACAGACAAGATGTTGGCATTATCTTGAGAATGTAATTTGTAAACTGAATAATTTTTTTCCAAAATTAACATTGGAGTTGTCGGCTGAATAAGCAGATGAATTTGTGAAATCTAGGTCCAGCGCTTTAATTCTATTTTCCTATATTATTATAAATATCAATAGCTTTTTCATCTGGATCCTAATAAAATCAAGCAGGCAGATGCAAATTCCATTATCTGGCAAGTAAAAATCTGACAATAATTGGAAATAATTTTATATGTCCTAATTTGACACATTTGTCGAAATGCTATAAAACATGCTTGTGTTTCCACAGTATTTTTGATTGGAGTTAGAACATTGTAAATTAAAGAAGACGCCTTATTTCTACCCAGTGATATTTTTTATTCAATTTGGGAATCATTAAATATCATAGGACTTAACTTTGAATCTCAGTCAGTAGAATTATACAACATGTTATGATTTACGCTATGGTAAACTTTTGTCAACTTTGCAGCTATCGCTTTTTCCTCTACTGTTGTCAATACATCGCGCTTTAAAAAATGTTGTAAATTCTGAGTATTCTGAGTACTCTATCTCCCCATAGGTGTTCTTGGACGCTAACATGCCGTTAAACCTCCATGCGATATCATAAATGATTGCATATACACTTTGCGAAAAGCTTTATGCACATTTATATCAACTCTTTTTAAAAAAGGATACAAATGCTCCATTCTTGTCTGTAAAAATACAAACGTATCATTATTTAAGTCCTGGAAACGGGAAGTCCCGCCTCACGTGGGACAGTAGACAACCCTAGTAATAGCCTAATGTACCCATATCGTGCCACACTAAGCATCTCATACACGATACAATCGTACACCAATTGGATGAACTGGTCGTACGAACTCGCAGTACGCGTATTATCGCAAAAATCTACATTAAACTCAAATTTTCTTTTTTTAACCACAAAGTAAGATTCTTAATGAACCACCTGTTAAATGAAATTTAACCCTTTCAGAAATGATGTCTCGCGTAAATATCTGAGCAAACTATGCAGAATTTTTGTCCACAGGATAAAAAAATAAACACCTTAGTAAAACCAATATATTCTTCGCTACACTAAAAATCTAAAATTAGTTGATCAAAATACAAATTATAAGTGTCTCTCGCCAGAATCTTTTTCTGGTTGTGGTACAAGTAGGTACCTATATTATCTCACTAACAATACAATTAATTTGTATACGGATTATACATTTATACCTATTTATCTTAATTTATGTACATACAGTATTCATATCTGAGAAAACAAAAACCGTCCCTTTTCTCCTGGCTTAACAAACTAAACAAACAATTAAAATATCAAATTACATAGAAGGCCAGGCACAAATTGAGACGCATGCAACGCAGCATAGCGCAGCGTAGGACATAACTACATGTGAGCGAATATTAAAACACAATATTACAGCGCAGTTTCATGTAGTCATTCGATGAAAACATTCGATATCGTCATGATGGCTAACGAATAAATAGATTTCAGTTCAGAATCCGATTCTGATGAGGAATTGAATGAACTTATTTTATATTCTTCAATTAAACGAAAAAAGTCACAAAACAGTGATTTGATGAAAAAAAATAAGTCACAATGAATTTGGTTTGATAAAGTAATTCTCTAAAAAACAATTTACAAACTACTTCCGCTTGAATGGACGTTAACTTAATGAAGTTTTCCATATTTTAAAGGATACTTCATGTAGCCAGGATGATGCTATTGTCAAATAAGACACTGTATTATCGAATGGCTTTAATTAGTTTTTCTTCCATGGTATAGTAGCTTAATAAAAAAAAAATTTAAAAATAGAAAATATTTAAAACCTGCGCCACACATGCGCAGGAAACTGTGTTATCAACACTGCGACGCAGGCTGACGTAGGAGCAGTACTGCAATGCCTTACCCTGCAACTCAATTTACGCTCATCTACTCAAACCAGTAGATCACAAAAACCTGTGCTGCGTTGTGTCGCGTACGTGTCAATTTGCGCCTGGCCTAATAGTTTCGTTGTTTCGTGTCGTCACGACTTCGGTTTATTAGTACACAATTAGATTAGATAGGATAACTAGAAATAAGGTGAATACCAAATTAGCTGCTTGAAAAAGTTTATAAATACAATAAAATACCCAATAGCTAAAAATTATTTTTGAAATAAAATGGAAATATCTATAATAAAATGTATATGTTTTTGTAAAAACGTACATTTTACAAGATTATTATGGGACGGGTATTTTAGGAAACTGACATTATTTTGCTGTCTCGGTCCGAACTTCGAATGAATATCGGAACAGCGTGCTTAAAACCGACATTGTCCCGGCTAAATTGGGACGAATGGCAGCCCTAGGGCTCAAGTTGCGTTTGTCCGTGATATTGGTTATATTTGTGTGTAAGCACTCGGTAAAAATATGTCGAAAAATTATTTAAATGCCGAAAAAATGTGACATTTAAATAAAATACACCCTCTCATTTCTCTTCCTCGCCCTCCTCGATCACAAAATGAAAAAAATAAGCAACGTGGGGATACTTAAAGGAAATATTTAGAACAACTGTGAAACAAAATCGTAAAAATGTTTAATAATGTCGTCAGAAACTTAGTACTTAGAAAAGGCATGTTCATCTGTACAATATACCTATTATAAGGATGTATTTTAAATGTAATATTATAGGTATTACGTTAAATTACGTAGGTATTTACACCGCTATCCACGGCCATGTTTTATACGTCTTCACGTTACACCAATAATACGTAATAATATCATTAATGTCAACGCAATATTCTCAGAATATCGCTTTCAGTACATACCATTTATTTACTGATAAGTTAATTATAGTCTAGACTGCAATGGTCTTCGTTCTCAAGCCGGTGGGTCGCGTAAGCTTTAAGATCGGATCATGATAGTCTTCTGTTTAAATTTTAAAAATTCATGACAATATTATAATTGTATGACATTCTAATAATATGTTATGTATGTATATAACATCGGACGAAATCGTTTTTGAGTAAACCGTACTAATTTATATTTATAGAAGATAATAATGAACAATCGCATGAAGTAATGGTACAGTGATAGCCCGACCTAATCGATATAAATCATTTATCTATAATAAATTATATGGATTATTTTTATAAATTACTGCTGTCGTTGTGTTCAGCGTTGATAATAAAATATAAATGTTAGTTGCGTTTAATCTAGCGGACTACTCGTAATAACGTAGTGTGGTTTTAGTTTTTTATTCGGAAAAGCAGTGAAAAGTATAAACATAACACAGACGAAAACATAACGACGTTACCAATGGTACCTTCAACATCGAACTTAATGGAAAATACTTATAAAAAAAAAAAGAAAAATTAATTAACCTGTTGGTCGAAGGTACGATTAAAATTATTTTATACTTAAATTTTGCGCTTATTATAGGGGAGTTGTTGAGTTGGTTCAACCACAATGTGTAGTTTTTGGAGAAGTGCTTGCAAACGAAAGTTTAAAAACAATCAAAATTAAAGACATTTAGATTCAAAACATTATTTTGAATCATTAAAAGAAAACTTAAATGAAAACCAAAAAGCCATAGAATAATGTTTTATCAGTTTCGCAGTCTACTTTAAAAGCATCATTTTTAGTCTCGTATAAAATTTCGAAATATTTGAAACCATATACCGAAATTATTTTTCTTTATTTCATTGTGTATGTGTAATTCTTCTAAAACTGAATTAATGTAAATGTTATTTTGGGTATTTAATATTTCTAAGTCTGTATTAATATTAAAATCTATAATATGGTTATTTTCTAAAACGTGTTTAGCGAAATTTGAATTAAGGGCAGTCTTTTTTAATTTTATTTCAAAAATGTTCTTTTTTTCTTATTTTAAAATTTCTATTCGTCTTAACTATATAAAATTTATTACAGGTACATTTAAGTTTATATATACTAGCATTTAAAAGTAGGGTTTTTGAAGTTTTTAGTTCTATTGTTTATATAATTATAATTCAATTATTATTAATATTAAAAACGATTTTTACATTATTTATATTATTGTTCAGAATTTTAGCAAATACGTTAGACATATTAATTTGATATCTCATACTACAATAGTTAACAACATTATTTAGTGAGTTGTGTATTATTTTTTCTTTAATACGTTTATAATGTGTTTTTTTATATTATTTAAATTTAAATTATTTCTATAGGTTATATTATTGCCAATATTAATCTCGTGTTGATAATTATGATTATTTAATGGAATACGTTAAAGCCTATAAAATATTGAATTAAACATTTTTTAGGAATAAGGGTGATTAGAATCATGTGGTATTATAGTATCAGTTTGTGTGGATTTCTTGTAAATACTAAAATCAAATTTATTGTTTATTATGTAAACTGTAAGTACTAAAAAAATTGTATTTATTATTTATTTGTATTTCGAGTGTAAATTGAATGATTTTGTTTAAGTAGTTAACTAAATTTTCTGCTTGTCTGTTTGAATCTCCAAATAAAATGAATGTTTCATCAACATATCTATAATATCCTTTTATACATGAACTATATATTTTGTTGTTAATAATATTATTGATTTCATAATTTTGCATGCAAATTTCAGATAAAAGAGCACTTAAAGCACTACTCATAACTAACCCATCTTTTTGAGAATATAATTTATTATTCTATTGAAAATAGTTTTGATTAATAATTACGTTTATTGATTAAATAATTTCTTGTATTTTATTTGTATTAAATTTACTGTTTTGTGTTTAAGAATGGATGTATATAAATTTTTGATGTCAAGAGAAATCATTTTTTAACCTGGTTCAATATTAATTTTATTAATAAAATCATAAGTGTTTTTTATAGAAGTATCAGTATTCATGATTAATTTTTAATTTATGAGAAAGTCTGAATATTTAGCATGGTTATAAGCTGGAGCAGTTTTAAAGTTAATGGACAAATTATTTTATTATGTATTTTATGTTATACTATAACTCATCACTGATTGAGCATGAGACGTATACACTATTCTTAAAAATTGTTGAATTAAAATATATCTTAAGCTCTTAAGTACATAAAATAACTTACGAATCAAGCTTGTTACATGTTGAATATGATTATGCCATTTAAACTCCTCATCAACAATCACCTTCAAATACTTAATTGTATTAACATTTTTAATACCTGTACATTGACTGAACAAAATGTTTAGTAGAATTTGATAATCGAAAATAAACATATTTAGATATGTCTAAATTAAGATCTATCATGTTATTCTAATGAAATTTTAACTATATTTAAACGTAGAGGACGTAGCAGATTTATATAAATCTTATTATTATTTTCCTTAACAATTATAACTGTATCATCAGCATATGATATCATTGTACCATTAATTTTCAAATCAAGAAGACCATTAACATAAATAAAAAAAAAAAATGGACCTAAAACTGTTCCGTAAAGAACTCTATGTATTGTTATAGGGTTACTTATAACATTATTAATTTTTATAACTTAGTTTCTATTGCTTAAGTTTTAAACAAATAATTCTAGAGCTTTTCCTCTAATACCAGACTATTCAAGCTTATTAATTAAAATGTTGTGATCTACTATTTCAAAAACTTTTTTAAAATCTAAAAATATACTCAAAACTTTTTTATTATTATCTAAATTTGTATGAACAAAATTAGAAAATGAGATTAATGCATTAGATATTGAAATCAAATGTGAAACCAAATTGATTATCAGAAAAAGAATTATATTTATTTAAAAATCCTAATAACCTACTTTTTAAACATTTTTCAAAAACTTTTGCTAATTATTATAATTATTGTAATTATTACATTGCTGTTTATCTCCATCTTTATATAAGAGAATGATTATAGATTTTTTTAAATATTAAGGAAAAACAATGACAGTAAATATGTCTACTAACAAGAAAAGTCAATTGATTGAGCTTTCTTGTGACAACAAACTTAAACAAATATTCAATGAAACTTCTTTAGAAGTTTTTTGGACATATTATTTATGCACAGGAAGTTATGTAAAACTAGCTGCTATCCATATAGCACATATCTGTGTGAAAAGGGGTTTTCGAATTTCAAAACGTCTAAAAGAAATGGACTTCAAACAGAAAACTATCTGGATTGCACTGTGTAAAATTGAGCCAAGATGGAGTATTTTGTGTGAAAATAGTTTGGGTTAAACACCACATTAATTTTTTATGTATCATTACATATAATACTATTAAAATATTACTTTGATACCTAAAAAAATGTAAATTTGTATTTATTCAGTTATAAAAGCACTTTTACAAGCACACTAAGACATTAAGCAATTTTATTTTTTTTTTTGGTTTTCATAGCCAACAAAACTGTCTTGGTTAGCAAAAAATGTATGAAAAGAAAAGTGAGTCATAAGTCAAAAAGGTTACAACTGGTTTAGAGGAGTATATGAAATCATGCACTGCCATAGCATGCAGAGGTGTATTAGCAGCTAGTTTTTTTTTTTACAGTGTTGTTTACTAATCGGTAACTAATTAGTTAATCATGGATAACTTAATCTAGAGAGCTTAGGCTCTCTAAATTAATCCATTTTAGTTGTCCCTTAACTAACCTTAGTTTTCTTGTTATAGGGAACTTAAATAATTTGAAATTAAATATATTATATAAATTTCGAGTATTAATCACTTTAATAATTTTGTTTTTTTCACTGTAATATTTTCAATTAAATGCCTAGCATTAGATTTTGAAAAATGATATATAATTTAAATAATCATACATCAATAAAATATGTTTGCTGTTGTCGATAAAAATTGACCTAATCTAATTATAAGTAATCTGTTTATAATAATTTTCCGCAAATTATATTTATTGGTTTATTCAAATTTTGTGAATTTTTCATTATTAAAATTATGTTATTTTAATTTATGCATCTTGTGTACACCATAATATTATCCCAAAAATAATAATGAATAAATCTTAAAATCTTAAAATTTATACAGTTATAAGTATTCGCAGTTGAAAGCGAAAGAGCCGCTATACGGTGGAATTTATTAGAACTACTCTACTGGGAAAAATGTATGTTATATTGAATACTAATTTCTAAGTTTCTTTGTAATAATCTCGATTTATTGTAATAATTATAAATATAGCTTTATTTGTTGATTATATGGATAACCCTAGTTATTATTCTAGCTTAAATTATAATTAAATTAAAAATAATAAAAATGCATAAATTAAATACAAACTTATATTGAACTTACATAATATACAATATAATGTTTAAACTATATCATTTCTTCTGAAAGTAAATTTGACTAGGGAAGTACTTTAAATCAGTCATTTTTTGATTTTCCAGAATTATTATCAACAAATGAGAAAAACCAAAGGAAAAATGGGAAAATATAAGAAATGTAGATATTAGTTAAAAAATACTATGGCCTTTTTTTTTCTTTTGAATCACTTTTCTACAAGCAATTTTATTTCAATTAACAATGATAGCATTTTTTCATTTTCAAGCCAATGTGAAAAACCGGGAAAATCGGTACATCATTAAGCAAATATTATTAAAGAAAATATATAGAACCTATTTAATTATTTTACTATAATATGACATCTATATTGTTGACAAAGCATCACTATCATCTTTACTTCGCTCAGAATCGTTTTTTCGTTAGCAATAGTTTATCTTTGATAGCAAGATACGTTAAATTACTTATACCAGTGGTTGCACCTCTCCTTTTTATTCTAGGGCGTTTTTTTTCCTCCTAAATTTATTTCAATAATATGATTGCATTTAACTATTTCTAAATCCTCTAAAAAAGGTTTTTTAAATCACCAATATATTAAATTATGTCGGTGATTTTTATTTCAGAATTAAACATTATGTACTTTTATTGCTACAAATTGTAAATAAATTAAGTTTCAATAAGTAAACTAAAAAAAAAAAAACTAGTAATAAATGGACTATTTTGTCTAAATTATTTTTGTTATTATTATTATAATGCTATCATAGTGTTCATCTCCCCGTTAGCCTTATTATTAACCAGAGCACTACTTATAGTTCCTTTCAATCGCGAATCCCATGTCCTGTGCGGTTAATGCGGAGATTCGCGCTATGATAGCTATGATATTAGCCAAAATAATCTGTTTATTACTAATAATAATAAAAATAATTAAGTAGGTTTTATATATTTTCTTTAATATTTGTTTAATGTTGTACCGATTTTCCTGTTTTTCTTACGTTTTTCCCGATTTTTCACTTCTGCTGGGAAAATGAAAAAATTACCTCTTTAAAGTACCCCCAGGGTCAAAATTTCTTTTTATAAAAAATGCTATTATAAATCAGAGCAATATTTTTGGTAGAAAAGTTGTGCACAGATAAAAAAAAATAATAATAATAAAAAATAAATATCTTTGTAAAACCATAAACTTCTTCGCTTCACTGAAAATCTAAAACTATATATTTACCAAAATTTCAAAACTGTTTTCAAACCAGTGACTATTACAGAAAACCTCACGAAATAGGTGCATTTTAAACACTATATCTATTGTATATTATATATTATGTAAGTTCAACACAAGTTTGTATTTAATGTATGCATTTTTATTATTCATTTAGCTAGAATAATAGTTATGGTCATCCACAATATCAACAGATAAAGCTATAATTATGATTTTTATAAAGAAATTCAGAAGTCAGTACTTTGTACTCAATGTCTTAATATAATATTATAATGTAATCAAACATACATTTTCCGTTAAAGCAGTTCAAATAAATTCCACCAGGTAGCGACTCTTGCTTTTAATCGCAAATAGGGACATCGGTTTGTTTTGTATTGTCCCTGGAATATTGTTATCAATAATGCATCATTGTTTCATTAACCTATAATTAATGAAGGTCCGAAGGTGGAATAATAATTATTTTAATTATTCTTAATAATTATTAATCCACCTTGGGAGGTCTGTTTTCTGCATATCTATGGTTTTCTTAGTTTATTCTTGTTTTATGCACACACTAACGCATAAACATACATACATACACACACAAACACGCGGTTTACTGGTGTTTCATTATAATCGTCGTGGCCGTCGTCCATTAATCCATTGTTTTGTGTACCGATTACGTGTTTCTAGAAAAAAAAAGTACTACTTAATATATTATATACACATAATTTATAGTATTTTATAAAATGATACTCATTAAACGTGGCCGTGGTTTTGCTATTTACGTAGAGGATGATACCCGAAAAGTATCGTACAAATACCGTACCGTGGAATCGATGAATTTTTCTAAGGTCCAAGCGATTAATAGAGACGCCCATAAAAGCTTCCAAACTATTCACGCTACCCGAACTAAAGAGACCAACAGCAGCCTGATTTACGATAAAGCCAACATCATAATTAATGAGCTCGAACATTTGATCCAACAAAAAGACGAAAAGATATGTAAACAAAATCTTTTAGGTGCAACTGTGAGTGATAATAAATTAGAATTAATATTGCTTAATAATAGACGATTAATAAGAAATATTGTACTTTTTAAGATTTTTATATAAATTATAATAATTTTAATAATAAGAAGATATAGGTATCATAGTTATGGGTATATATTATACGCTCTTTACATTTATCGTGTTATTAAACATGTTTTTGATTAGCCTAGGTTATGTTCATTAATTTATAGTCTAGTTTTGTTAGTTACACAATTTAAAAATTGAAAATTGATTAAAAAAAGAAAAAAAAGTTCATCTATACCTGGCTGCGGAGAATGAACTTTTTATTGATCTTGTATAGCAGAACTATGAAATAGTAGAACATAATTACGAATTTAATTCAATTCCATGGCTGCCGTGTAAATAAGTCCAAAAATAAAAAATTAAATAATAATAATACATAAAGCAAGTATGCGTAATATTCATAGTAGATTTGTACATAATGATTGTAGCAAGTCTATAAACCGAATTTATAGCTGATAACCGAGCAAAAGTGGTGGGGTATCTTACAAACGTTGTTTATGTAGTGTTACATGCTCTTGGTGAAACCCAATGTTTCGGCTATTGGACGTTTAAAGTCATATTTAATATGGCTTCGTTTATAGTGATTTTAAGAACAACGCTTAATAAATATTAACACAAATCAAGGTCAAATATCAAACTGATAAACATATAATTTTTATAGCATACCTACTACGCTGGTCGATTTTTTTTCTTCTAATAGATACGTGTATATTCATTAGGCAGATTTCATTATGAAAAAGCAAAATATATAACTTAACATTATACCAGTAGATAGAAAATAAAATGGAAGTTAATTATACATTAATGAGCTTTTTAGCATTTTAGCTTCATATTTGAATTTCAATGAATTTTATTAATTTTATTGTATATTGCTTTAAACTGGCATATATTGGCATTTCCGCAATTGTTATTTTAAATTTTATTTCAAACTTGTATAGTAAAATGGTAGGTATTTAATATGACTGTATTACTTTTTAATTTAAAAATTGATATCCAATTTATGATCGTCAAAAAAATATCATCAATGCTAAAAATGTATTTAGTACATAAGAATTTTAATGTATTAGTACCTGTAACATTTTTTTTAATCTTTAAAACTTCATTTACCTTTAATGGAGATTTGAAAAAAAAAATCCTAATAAATTAATGATTTGTTTATTAGGTTCATCAACATATGTAAAAAGAAAAAAAGCATTATGTTCTAATTTATTTTTGAGCATTTTATATTCAAATTTTTAAAATAATTTTGTAAAAAAATGTGTAGAAAGTGAACACCACCATGATATTACGTTCTTAAAACAATTTATGGAACTAGAATAATTAGTTACATACACATTTATAAAAAAAAATTTTTTTTATGTACAATTATTTATTTTTTTTTAATGGTTTGCATTTTATATAGCTAAAATCCAAATTAGGAGAAAATTATAAAATTATCGCAGAGAATTCAATGAAAAAACATTCCCAATTTAGAGACAATTATAAAGCTGTTCCTAAAAATACAGTGAGAACCAGTAGCACCACTTGTTTGGCTAATAATATACCATTTGGTCAACGTTACAACCAAAGAATTACAATACCAAAGTACAGAACAGAAATGATGTCTAAGAAATGTGCAAGGGTGAACAAACTATTATTATTATTATTTATCTTAAATCAGTAACTATTTTAAGTAAAATTTATTCCTGTTTATTTTTTTTTTTTTTTTCAGAAAAGAACTGTCATTGAAAAATCTGTTCATAGATTGAAAGGATCAAGTATCCAAGAAGAAGTATTTCAATAACTTAAATATGTCAACCTACATAGTTATAAAGTTATTTGTCTACTATTTTCTCACAATATTAACACAAAATAAAAAAAAACAGGTAACATTTTATACATCTATCACACAAAATCTCAGACTTTGGAACATTTTTGTAACCAATGTAACGAAATAATTATTTATTTCACCAGTATATTTCAGTTGTATCCGTTATACTGTCATTTATGAACAATGTATTTGTTGTTTTTCTTTTTTCTGGTAATTTTTATCAGAATATATCTACATAAATTAAGACTTGAATTATAATATTTGAAAGTAATTATTTTATTATATTAAAATATAATTGTGACTTGAAGTATAACACTTACATGTAATTATTTTATTATATTAAAATATAATTAAAACCATTCATGGTATTTATTACATTATAGTATAAATTGTATTCATTATCTTAATGTTTAATTTGATTTATTTGTTTCATAACATAATATTATAAAGTTTTTTTTTTGTAGTTTTGTTATCCTTGGTTATTTTAAAATTGAATCATTCAATACAATATAATAATATTTCTCCACAAATTAAATATTGATATTAAAATAATTGATTCTTAGTTATTAACACATAATTACTCAATCTTCTTTTTCCTCTTCACTATCTTCTTTCCTATAATACATGTGTATAAATTTTTCTGCCAACACATAGAGAAAGAAACAATGTTTTTCTTCCATAGACTTTACTGTGTAACAAAAATGTGACAATTGACTTGTGCAAGAGGTATATTTATTTATATTTATAATAACCTGCTGTGTTGGATTACAAATTTGTGTTCAATACATATGTTTAATATTTATGCTATTTACATAATGATTTTCTAAAATTATTATTGTTTAAAAAAATAATTCCTAAGAATTATCCTATATAACCAAATATATGTTTAATGATTTATTATAATAGTAATTGTAATTTGAGTATGAATAAATGCTAATATGTGTAGTGTAAGAAACAATTTAGAGAAATTAACTCATATGCTTTAACTTTTAATACCGACTAGGTTTTTGGTTGATGTCAGTGGATCAACCGGAGACTGCATCTCTCCTACTATTTTGGGTCCCCAGCCAGTTAGTGGTGGGCCTAAAATAATAATTCCTACAGTAGGAATGGGAAATTGTATAATATTATATAACACTGTAACTTTTTAATTATAACTCTAAAGTACCTCCGCAATCAGATTTCCTTATAGGAAAAGTGCTATCATAGTAAGAAAATTTCATTGAGAAAACTTACGGATAGAAAAGTTGTCTACAAAAAAAAAAAATGTTAAATTTTACTAGTATACTTAATAAAATAATAAAGTAAGTAATCATTTTTAAGACTTATAATAATTTATTCAAACATATAATTATATAAACAATAGAACTAAAAACTTTACAAAAAATCCCACTTCTTTTGAAAATGCTGGTATATATAAACTTAGATGTAGCTGTAATACATTTTATATAGGTAAGACAAATAGAAATTTTAAAATAAGATGTAAAGAACAGATTTGTGAAATACAATTTTAAAAAAACCTGCCCTTTTTCAAATTTCGCTAAATATGTTTTAGAAAATAACAATTATATAAGTTATGATATTAATACAGACTTAGAAATATTAAATACCCAAAATGCATTTTCGATAATCTATCTTTTTCATCATTAGGTATTTGGTTTGGTAGAGCCACTATATTATTTTCCTTAATATAAATTGTGAACTACTTGGCCACCACACAAACCTTTTCAGTGGGACCCATTATCTTTTTAAAGAAATATACAATAATAATATTATTTATGAAAAATAATGGTATTTAGGCCAAAGAAAATCCCAATAGTCAGTATATGCATTGTCGTAGTCCACTCCCCCCCATAATCCGATGTTTTCTTTTTTATTATTCAAAATATCCATAGTTCTTAAGTACAAATAATTAAAAACCCAACTGGTTCTAAATGCCATAAAGATGATTCTGGATCTCGGAAATACTTCGATTGAAACAAGAATGAAACACTTCTCATTTATGAATTTCAATTAATATTCTATCAATGATGAAATAGAATTATGGAAAACTAAGTGGGAACAATCAATTTGCAAAGACATAATAAAGTAATATATTTTTAGAATTGAAATCAGAAATGAATAATAATTAATTTACATTTTAGATTCTAAGTGTAGCAAAAAATGTACCTATTGGATTTACAATGTATTTTTTTTTTTTTTACACTGTCACAAAAATGTTTACCAGAAATCTTGCTTCAATATGCAAGTGTAGCACATTTTTGGAAAAAAAAATATTGTCATTGATCCAATGGTACTTTAGGAAGGTAATTTTCATAGATCAGGAAATCCCAGGTTTTTCTTACATAAAATGTAAGAAGAACTAGGCAAATTTACAAAATATTGCTTTTATTATTTTAAATTTTGTTTTTTGTTGTAATGCAGTTAAAAATATTGGTAGAAACTAGAAATTTAGACAGAAAATTTATTTTTGCTTTTACTTTGTAAAATTTTCAACTTTTTTATATAATTTGTTTTTGGTAGATACTTTGTGGTAAAATAGTTGGACTTGCAACAGAAATGCTTAAAAATTTAACAAGGTGGTTTATTAATAGTCATTTTGTAGTCAAAAAAAAATTTTTGTTTATATAGTATTTTTTTTTATAAGGTAATTTTAATATCAAATATTAATAAAAATCGTAAAAAATTATGTGGAACAAATCTAATTTTTCAATTATTTTTTTTTGAAGTTTGAGTAAATCATTATTTTTGTTTTATTAATGCTAAATGGCAAATTACTAAGAATAAATGAAAAAATATAAATTAAGGTGAAATGATAACAGTACAAATTAGTTTTTGATAGACTTAAAACTAAGATGATTAAAAAAACAGTAAAATAGTTTATAAACAAACAATATAAAAACTTTATTTACACAACAAAGCATGTGGTGTTAAGAATGGTTGTGACTGTAGGAGGTGGAGTGAGTAGGGATATGAAAGTGTGTATGATGTCTAAGAGGTAGGTAGGAACATGGAAATTAATAAAGGAAAGAAAATCTAGGGTATCTATTGAACCATCAATTAGACCTTGAATAAAATGGAAATCAGCATTAACTGAATAAAGGGAAGAAAGAATGGCGATATTAGTTTTAAAAGTACAGACGAGTAGTCATGTTGTGTCTGTACAAATTTAAGTAGGAAATAGATATATGAAAGAAACCTAATCTGGAATCTCTCTAGTCTTAACTGGTCTTTCGCTAGGGTGCCAAACTATCATATCATACTCTAAAATTAGGCGCACAAGGTATAGGTAAAGTGTGTGAAGATAGTGGACATAGCTAAACATTTTAGTGTTACGTTTTAAGATACTCAGAATTTTCAGTACTTTGCAGACAGTAACATTAATGTGGTGGTTGAAATCAAGGGAAGATTTGAAAAGTATACCAAGATCTTTGATAATAAACACACACTTCAGGTATGGTAAGAAAAGAAAGTTGGATTATACATCTAGAAAAAGTCATTATATGACATTTGGCTAGGTTCAAGCTTAGCCCAAGACACTATCCATTGAGCGAACTTGTAAAGTTGGTGTTGCAAATTTTGGTAACAAGAAATATCAATAGATTTCAAAACAATTTTGATATCATCTGATAATCCTAATCTGATGAAGAATAGGAATTTAGCCATGGTGATCAACATACTGATTGAGTTGACGAACAAGATAAAAAGTAAGGGACTAAAATGACCACCTTGGGGGACACCAGAGGGTACGTTATCTAAGGATGACTCACAATTATTGACCTTTACAAACCACTGCCTATTGAATATGATAATGCAACTTCTCTTAATGTGGAGCAAATCTAATTTTTCAATTTTTATTTTTTTTTTTGAATATGTTTTTTGCTGATTTAAGCCAGAATTAAGTGGACTTAGTTTCTAAATTATAGCTTTTTGAAGTTCTGATATGCGGATATTATTTGTTGTAATCTAATGATTATTTATGCTTATTATCATCCTAGAAGTTCAGAGTTCAAATCAGTGTGTTGGAAATATGACTAGTAAGGTACCTTAGGGCGGTAATTTTTCGAATTTTCCAAATAAATTAGAAAAATCGTGAAAAATAGTGAAATATATAAAATATATTAGTAAAATATAAATATTTTTTTTTTCTGTAGACAACTTTTTTACCAGTAATTTTGATCGGATTTACAATGATAGCATTTTTTCTAAAAAGAAATTTGACAGCGGAGTACTTTTAGAGAAGTAATTTTTCGATTTTCTCATAAGTATTTTCAATAAATGTGAAAAAACAAAAAAAACTGAGGAAATATTGGGAAATTTACAAAATGTAGGTATTACTTAAAAAATGTTTCACCCTTTTTTTCTGTGAACAAATTTTCTACTCGTAATTTTGCTCCGATTTACAACTTTTTCTGAAAGGAAGTCTGACTGGGAAGATACCTTGTGAAGGTCATTTTTCGATTTCTCTAAGAGTTTTCTCAGCAAATTTGAAAAACCGGAAAAATGGGAAAATTGGTACAATATCGAACAAATTTTATTAAAGAAAATATATTAAGCTCTTACGGAAATGGAAAAATGACTACCCTAAAATACCTTCCTAGTCAATTTCCTTTCAGAAAAAGTGCCATCATTTTAAATCTGAGCAAAAAAACAGGTATTAAAGTTGTATACAGACAAAATTTATATTTTTTTACTAATACTTAATAACATATCTTACAATTTCTGTTTATCCTCAGTTTATTTTTCAGTTTTAAACATTTGTTGAGATAACTCCTGGGAAAATCAAAAAATAACCTCTCTAAAGTAACTCCCAAGTCAGTCTCAGACACCAAAGTCTACACTCAATAAGACCCAGCTACCGGCTCAAGGTCATGTACAGGTTAGGTTAAGTTAGCACACTGTGAGGAGGTGATGCCGTCATCTCTCACTGTAATTTTAATTAGCATAGTTAATAATGTAAGCCTGCCCCGCAAAGAGGAAAACAGGATTTAACAAAACATTTAATTGTACTCATTAATAAACTATGGCAAAAGTAAAGTAGCAATGTGAAAAACTGATATCCCACTGATGTCGATTAATTGAAAAAAAAAAATGTACCCCCGCAGTCAGATTTAGAAAAAGTGCTATCATTGTAAATAGAAGCAAAACTGCTGGTAGAAAAGTTGTCTACAAAAAAAAAATTGTTATATTTTACTAACATATTTCATAAAATAAAGTACATATGCTGTTCAAATT